GGTGTCCGCACACCTTTGAAAGGATCTCTCAATCACATCTGGAACGTCCTGGGCGCAAGAACTCTGTCAACTTCCGGGCGACAATTATTTACGATAGACAAGTTTAGAGATACAGGAAGGCCGCTACTTGAGATCCTGGCAGATCCGGAATCAATCTTCCTAAAGGGATTAGCCAAGTTCGAGAGAAGGACGTTATATTCAAACATTATCAACGATCGAAGCGCCGTTTACTACACTACTGGAATTGCAAGCACCGATCCATTTTCAAATCCGGATAATGTCAAAATAAACTATGTAGAAGGTTACGAAGATGTTGTTCTAGACAGGCACAACCCAGTTTCCCCTTTGGACAAGTCTAGTCTACATGCCAATACGAGCTTCATGGCCAGCACAAAGAAGACCTTGGGAAATCTTCCTCTATTTGCAGCATTGGTCGTATTCATCCCATTCGGTGTCGTCGCTTTCCTTTTGAACTCTGCCGTTCAGACTGTCCGCAGTAGCAAACGCATTCGTCTACACGAACAAGGTTTAGCCGGTATTCAACCAAACGACTATCGATTCCCTCTGCTTATCAATAGCATGCGTGAAACCGTCGAAGATGTGTATGAGAACCTCAATTCTACCCAAGACAACGAATACCTCAATACGCCTTCTGATTCGGACTCTGAAGAGGCATCCGCTTCATCTCCTCTGATTAGAGAACGGACTAAATCTTTCCATAGCGAAATTGCCGACCCAGAGAAATCCGGTGTAGTTGCTCCTACTTTGGCGTTGGCACCATATCAATTCAAAATGATAGAAGCATTAGATAAGGTAGGTTGGCGAAAGTACCCGGTTTTCATTCACAAGGTCAGACATAGTCATGCAGCTATTATTGTTAGGGTTGACAAACCGAGCTTTGATGAGGGAAGAATTGTATTAAAGCACTGGTTGGATGAGGAGTTTATTTTGTGATTGGGGCCGAGCAGGAGGTTCGGTTGAAGATAGAACAAGTTGTGGGAGATTTACTTTTAAATCATGTTTTCTCTAAAAGATACCTAGCGGTCTTGGCTCAAGCGTCGGCGTTTTACATTATAGCATTAGAGATCATATCATTGAGAAGGGGCATCGGAGGAACTATTTGAACTTAGATTTTTTTGTAGAATTAGATATCGTAGACTTTTTGAATTCACACCATTTGCTTTGAAATCACTTGATCGACTTTCATTATCCTCCTGCCTTTTACCTTGAAGAGTTGGAAAGACAGCCTTATAGATAACATTGTCCGAATCATGCATATGAGCTCAACATAATAAGCTGATTCTGAATTTACAAAAATCCTTTACTCGAGCATCAGATCGAAGTTAAAATCCCTTTGAACCTTCTAACATGGAATTTCACGTGGTTCCCCGCAAAACAGCTTTACGCGAAGCGCGTTCATCGCGTCTCCAGAAGGTTTTCAAACCAGAAACCAAACTGAATCAAACCTCAATTTCCAAATCCTACAACAAATTTACAACATGGCCCTCATTGTAGATAAGCACCGTCCTCGGTCTCTTGATCAACTAACCTACCATGACGATCTTTCTAATCGTTTAAGATCTCTTGTACGTTTACCAATCTCTTCAATTGCCCTCTCTACATACTTGACGCAGCACATACTCACAATGGCGATCATATCTAGGCACAATCCGGCGACTTCCCTCATCTCCTTCTCTACGGACCTTCCGGCGCGGGTAAAAAAACTCGCATAGTATGTACTCTTAAAGAACTCTATGGGCCCGCCGTCGAGAAAATAAAAATCGATTCCCGTGTCTTCGCATTGGCATCTTCGTCGCGAAAACTCGAATTCAATATTGTTTCTTCACTCTATCATTTGGAAATTACGCCTTCGGATGTGGGAAACTATGACCGTGTTGTGATTTCGGAATTGCTCAAAGAAGTGGCGCAGACGCAGCAGGTGGATCAGAGTGCGAAGCAGAGGTTTAAGGTGGTGGTTATTAATGAGGCGGATGGGTTGAGTCGTGACGCTCAGGCGGCGCTGAGAAGAACGATGGAGAAATATAGTGGGAATGTTAGATTGATTCTGGTGGCTAATAGTACCTCGGGGATTATTGGACCGATTAGGAGTAGAACGTTGTTGGTCAGGGTGGGAGCACCAACTGAGGGAGATATTGTGAAAGTGCTTGAGATGAGTGGAAAGAGGGAAGGGTGGGGAGTCAGTAAAGGATTCTTGGAAAGAGTCGCCAAGGAGAGTGGTAGAAATCTGAGGAGAGCGCTGTTGATGTATGAGGCAGCACATGCGCAAAAGTATGTTTTATCTACCCTTTTCACGCCTATCATTCTTTCTACTATATATACTTTTGCAAGAGATATCATACTAACTAGCACCAGCGAGACAATAACAGAGAACACCCCCATCCCACCACCTGACTGGGAAGCACTTCTCTCAACCATCGCGCACAGCATGACAGTCGAACACACTCCGGCCCAGATCCTCAAAATCCGAGCCCAACTTTACGATCTCCTCACACATTGTATCCCCGCCACAACCATTCTCAAAACCCTAACATGGAAACTCATGCCATTGGTGGATGATGCGTTGAAGAGCGATATTGTCAAATGGGCTGCATTTTATGAACACAGGTGTAAGACGGGTACGAAGGTCATTTTCCATCTCGAAGCTTTTGTAGCCAAATTTATGAGGGTGAGCGAGGAGTGGCTGATGGCCATGGAAGTCGAGTAGAGCAGACGAGAAAATGAGTGGGAGCGAGGGGAGATTGGGATGCACATGCATGGGAATCATGCAGGCAGCTGGCGTTTTGGGTGTGAGGCTAATGTGAAAATGGCGGATACAATCGACGTCCATATATCTGCTAGAATAGAGATATCTACATTATAATGATTAAGCAAACAGAAATGATAACATCTATCTATGTACAACTCAAAGCATACGAAGTGTAAAATATCACACCTAATTACATTCCTATTTTTTGAACCTCGTCAAAAATTCCCTGCGAGAATTAATCTACCTACGGATACAGCACAAAAGGGAAATTTTTACAATACAATACTATATATCTTCACTCAACCGAAATCTACAAACGAAGAGAACAAGTCCCTTTTTCGCTCCTTCGCCTCGCTAGATACATCTATACAGTGTATCCAACATTCATAACATTTCACATCCTCAAGAATTCCTCTCATACAATCTTCTCACATTGTAAACCACATTATTTCAGACTTATAATTTTATTGAAGATTATATGAGATATACAATTCAAATTCTCACTCCACACTCACACAGATGATATAGATTATCCATATAATTATTGCTTTTCTCGAATGAGTATATACTTCTATACATATATACCTACATACATATGGATATGTATACTTATCTATCCTCTCTCTCTAAATCCACAAACCCATAAATTTACAACTCCCTTGTTTCTCCATTCATTTGCATTGCATCTCAGATATCCCCCAAGCTCAAAAAATTCATATTCCATATTCCATTCCCCAGACTCCAAACCCAGCGCGGCGACGCCGAGGTATCGAGATGATCAGCATAGATAGAATAAATCCATCATACTCAGCCTCAGCCCCTCAGCCACCAATATGAATGATAGGTACCTAGATTGATGCTCGAATATGGAATGCGAGATAGCCGGACGTGATTTGTATGATCAAGATGAAGGTTGGAATTGGTAAATTGTAGTGGAAATTAAGTAGTTTTGTGTTGTTAGGGGGGTTTGGATGATGTTGATGGTGGTGAATGGATGGATAGATGGATAGACTTGGGAGTTTGTTGGATACCTATTGCTGTGCTGATACTTGATACTTGATAGCTGGTGATTAATATCTGTAATTTGATGACAATTACTGCCCGTTGCAATGTCATATGCATGTATACCATCGCATCTCATCCCGTCCTATCTCATCTCATCCCCTCTCACCTTACCTCACCTCACCTCACCTCACCTCACCTCACCAATCCTCACCAATCCTCACACTACCACACCACACCACAAACCTAACTCTCAAACCCAAATCCCACGAGTTCCCCAAGCCCACGCCCAGAAAAATCAATGCAATCGAATCCTCACCTACCTATGATATGATCATCGATAAATCCCTGCCTACCCACCAAGGTAAAAACTAACCCTACCCCCAAGAACCATCCCGCAATCGGGGTTTCCGCACTCCTAGAACCAACCTACCTACCTATTCTTACCTACCTTCCCAATCCCCAACCAATTAACCTCATCTACAATTAAAAACCAAACCCTTACCAAAAAAACAAAAGGAACCTGACTTTGACCCCCAAATCTTCACTTAGAAGCAACTCCAAGTAGCTTATCCTCTTCCCATCCCGGTAGTGGCGGATGAGGAAAAAAAGAAAAAAAAAGCGTGCGTCGCATCGTGAAGATCTCGAAATATATCGATACCTCAGACATCCACTCCTCCTCAACTTTTCCCCAACATAGAAGAGAACCTCAGGCTCTTCTTCCATCAATTGAATCTACAATCATTCTAGGTTAACCTTGAAAAAGACGTCACTCTCGTTCTGTCGTTTCGTTTAAAAAAGGGGAAACGAGTTTGGCAAAGAAAGAAAAGGTATATCATCATACGCAAAAATGAAGCAAAATTGAGTCAATCTTTTATCTATAGTGATATTTCCCTCTCGGTATAGTAATACAAGCTTATATATAACAAATTTATGAGTACGAGAGTGACTGTCGCTGCCGAATTTGAATCGAAATCCGCTCCCAATAGCAGAGTAAAAAGGAAAAATTCGTCCGTTCGTCCTCACCAGGTAACAAATCTCATAAAAACGCCAAAATAAGTGCCAGGACTACATCCATTAAACTCCCCCAAATGCTCCCCTCCAAACCATGCAAGCAAATGTCCGTCCTAGAAAAAGTAGAGAAAGGAAATTATTTCCATGCGTATCAAAGAACATCTGTTATGTTTTCATTTCATCCGACATCTCGACTCAACTCATCCCTCTCACGCGTTTACATAGTAGCCTGCGGTGCATTCATCCGTGGATGCTGCAGCGTTGCTAAATTTTGAAGTTCAACCAGTTGGCGCATAACTTCTGCAGTTTGTGCTTGTTGGGCTTGTGATTGTCTCTTGAGCTCATCATTTTCGGCCTTCATCTTCTTAATTTCCTCGCGAAGACTTTCTAGTTCACTAACGTCTCCCTTGCTATTTCCGCGTTTTCTTTTCATGCCTGTTATAATTGCTTGGCTGGCATCTTCTTCTGTTTCATCCATGTTCATTTGAGAAATTTGTGTCATTCCTGTATCTGCTGTATGCACGCGTCTGAGATGTTCGTTGAGGTTTTCTTGACGGGAGAATCCTTTTCCAGTGTGACGTTTACAGTTGGGATGAGGACAGTTGAGTTGCTTTTTAGGCCCGCCGTGTTTTCCATGCACTTCTCTTTCGTGTCGAAGGAGTCCTCCAGAGTATGTAAATCCAGGAAGCTTTTCGCAGCCTGGTTCCTTGCATCTGTAAGGACGATCGTGTTTGTCCATGTGTTTGCTGTAAAGACATCAATGATAAACACGAACAGAAGTTAGAAGACTGTACTTACCTCCACTCGCATTTTCTATTAAAATCTTTGACTTCTTCAGTACACCCTGGCCATGTACAGTAGAATCTCCCATTTGCGTCTTTTGTAATCTCCCTGTCAGGTTTTGGTACTGGCTTTGATCGTCCGGGTGACGGCGCCTCTTCTTCGTCTTTTGGTAATTCTGGCAGTTCCAACGATGGGTGGTCTGGAGTTTCCGTCATAGGTTGTGTGGTATAAGGGTTCTCGGACATTGGGGGCGGCGGACTTGGGTAATTATGCTCATCGTGCGGCTTGAACTCGTCCTGTTCTTGCGTTTCGTGCGCCATTTGCATCGGGTACTGTGTATCAGTCATAAATGATCTGGACTCGTAGCTTAAACTCATATTGTTGTTTGGGCGGGAGTTATCCTGATATTGAAAGAAGTCTGAATCTGTGTTATGGTCGTAGTCTTCAGGAAAGTATGTATTATCGCGACTAGGAGGGGGATGTATATTTAGCGGATATTCGTAGGGGAGATGGTTGCCACGCTCGTACAGTCCGGCTTGGTGGTTTTCAGGTTGGCTATTGGATTCTTGATAATGCAATGCCTGGTATCCTGGAGCTTGAGAGGCTGCAAATTGATGTTTGCCTTGTGCGCTAAAGTGATGTGGCGAAGTACCAGCCACGCTTAGTAATCCATTTTTTTCATCACCACCTCCATTCTTTTCCTTTGAATCAGATTCGCGGCCTTCAGCTACTAAACTGGGGGCACCAATGGTTGTTATATCTGTCTGAGACTTTGAAACTCCAGGCACAGCAGGCAATGTAGGCACGAGTCCATTGGTGTCATGATCCGGATTTAAGTTATGACTCGTAATATTGTCGCTGTCGGTTATCCCTTCTTTGTTATAAGAGCCTTGCGGAGGAACAGGCGACTTTGATTGTCTATGCTGTCTCTCCGGCGTGTTCGACATGGCTAAGAGTACTACATACAAAACATATTCATCAGTCACATGCTTTGAATCCCTAGCTTTTGATGACTGGATAATCGTATGCCAGGCATACCAGGGGTGGTAGCGTGCTGAGAGGCCGGATGTATGTACGAAACAAACAATATCTAAATCGTGACTCACCTTGCTGTGTTCTCGGCGCAGCTGCCTGTGTGTATGCGTATTCTCGAGTAGGGTACCAGATCTGATCCGACTTTGGTATTGGCTGAAATGTTCCTTGATTTTCGGTATTGTGCTTGCAAATCCTTGTATTGTTTAAATGCGGATCAAACAATAGAGGCCAGTTGGAGTCACTCGGGCGTTGTAGATGGTTGCCGTGGGTATGGTTGCTGTGATTGTCCTGATATTGACCGAAGATAAATGGATCATATGGTTCTTGCTCTTGTTTGATGACTGATCCTGCTTGTTGTTGATCTGTAAGAAAAAAAATCGTTAGAAATTTGAATTTGGGTCTAATAGTAAATAGTACCGTAGTAAAAGAAAACACTGAAATTCGACTCTCCAATCCTCTGGCTTTGGTATCGAATTTCCTGGTATCAAATTTTCCAATACGGTTGGGATGATCTCGATATTGAAGTTTTCACGGCTCCAAAACTCAATTGTTGTTGATTATTCTGGTGTGCCTTGTCAATCACCTGGTAAAAAGAATACTGCCTAGGTAGGTAGGTAGGTAGTGACCACTGTCGAATTAAATCCTCCTTCATAAGTTTTTTTTTGTTATTCAAAACAAATAATAAATGAATAACCAGTAGTTTCCTCTGAACAGGTGTTTGGACTTTTCATTGATAATTTCTACTTGGTGCTCTGGGAAAATCTCGAAGAAAGTGAATCCTGGGCCTATTGAATACCCATCCAGATGTGTACCTTTGGATCGCGAAAATCACACCAACAAAAACAACACTTTAGATATGTTTTGAATAGAAACCGTACATATCATGAATCATCCTAGACCGGCACTGTAGGAGAAGGCCTTGTATTGGTTCGTGTTGCCTCAAATATTCTATGTTGTCATCTTCGCGAACCTGATGGCTTCTTTGGGGAGGGGAAAGTTGTACCCAGTAACAACGAATCATCCTTGGCCTTTTCTTATAACAAAGTAAGGAAATATACACTGCTTACCGAGTGGTAGATAATTCTTCGCTGTTGGAGACAAATGAGACGCTGAGGGTCTGGAAGCCTTGCGCAGAGATGTCTGCGGATGGCTATGGCTATGCGAAGTATGAGGTTGTGCTTGTTGCCAACACTGCATTCGCATATAAAACATCCAGCACACACCCCACAGTACCAAGACTGAAAGTTTCACTCCGGACCATGGCCATGTCGAATTAAGAGGGCGTTGACCTCCTGGCCACTCAAGAAACCATCCATCACCGAATAGATGTTCACGGCGGCCAAAGCCTGTTCCGGGACGAAAACAAGGCCGGCGTGAAATACCAAAGGCAGTTCTACTGGGCTCTTTTGCAAAATGTCTGACAATCAGGGCGATCAAAAGCAGGTAACAATTGTAGAGGGCCAATAACGCAATAGAGCATCCTGCGCGTAGAATAATTGAGCTGCTTGATCTGTAGCTCATGCCTCGGAAACGCTTTTGCCTGATTTTCTGTCGACTTCTTTATGATTAGTCTTTATACACCACTGTGACTAATTTAGGGACAATTCCATTGACAAGCGGAGAGCAACGTTTCCTCGATGTAAGGTGCTGAGGATAATCTAAACAATCATGTGATTGGAGCCATTGGAACAGGATTCCCCTGACAGTGATGTCCAATGCTCGAATGTCCAATGAGCTTCGAACAGATGCACCGCTGGAAGTGCGCTCTTGAAGACCATTTTCAACATCCTGACGCCCTGGCTGATATGGGAGATTGAAGGACGTCCCAAGTGATTGTAAAGAGGAAGAAAAGTCCAGGGGGAAGAAGAAAAGCAAAATGGGAATATGAAGGAATAAAAGGAACTTACTTAACTCCAGAACCACCCTCATCACTCGTTGTCAGTTTCTTTTTGAATAGTTCGACGATGTATTTCGGAAGGACCAATGTAGCTTGGGTATTGATGCGGACAGGCTGCATGTACTCCTTGCAATGTTGCGCTTGAGCTTGTATAGACATCTTAAGAAACAAGGTCGACATCTTGCTCACATTCGCGAAAACTTTCCAATCTTGCCTCCCAACCAAGACCATAGAACAAAACAGATAAATATATAAAAAGATCATCCGGATACGTCATTCACCCCAATCCGCAAAAAAACGTGAGACGAGATGAATCTCTACTAATAAGGCTAGCCATTGACTTACTTGCGAAGAAGAGGGGGGGGAATACTGCCTTCGTCATCTCCATACAACACCCGCCAAGAGAATCAGAGTTCCTCTGTACACCGATATATCATATTTCCGTTGGGGGCCAAAGTCCTCAACTATCGAGCATCCAGGGGCTACAATAGTATTGAGATGAATCCTCTGTGTTTAGCGATGCTTATCTTGATCGGTGAACGGTATTGCTAGGTGCAACAGATATTCTGACATTGGCGTCACATTATGCAGCCCTGTAGTAGGGCTTGCTGCGGGGGCCAGAGGTGGCTTTTTCTCTCTTTTTCTTTTTGCTTAGATGCGCAGCCTCGTTCGAATATCCAGAGAAGGTTCGAAATCTCGGTGACTGGCTTGCAGCTTCACCGTGTTGAGGTATATCCATATCCGCCGCCGGTACGAGTGTACATTCATGAAATTTTGCGTTGGAGAAAATTACACTTGAATTGAAGCTTGAGTAATTGACAGGTAGACTTGGTTTGCTTATTGATTGTTTTGTTAAGGTTCTTTTTACTTTTTTACTTTTCATTTCCTATTCAATATTTATTATCTATCACTCAGGCATTTATTCGCGCCAGGCTCACGTTATTTACACCTGAGGCGGAAAGAAGATTATATTTGGAAATCTGGATTCTCCAAGGACAGGACCGGATTGCTATAAAGGTTAGCTATCTATCTCATCATCTTTTGTGTACCACAATATCTCCCCACAAACTTCCTCGTGCCACCACCTAACCGGTTACCTATATCGATCAACTCAAATCTTTCCAAGGTTGCTGTGCGTCGTAAATGGTACCGAAGAGGTCAAGACACGAGATGGAAACTCTTGTTTCCGGGATTGAGAAATTTCTAATCGGTCTATCGGATTCTTGGGCCCAGAGCGATGACTGCCATGCTGCGGATGGTACTCCAGCTGATTTTTCATTGGACCATGGTGCAGATATACCTCCCCATCCTTCTTCATATGCATAGCCATCCGAAGTATTGGATGCTGCTTGTTGTTTGATTCGTCACTTACCTAATCATCGGCCTCTGGCTTGACCTTACATCTTTCCCGCAGAGATATATCCTTGGTTGATATCTTCATCTTGGTCGTCAATGGCATAACAAATATCCTTCTGCATAACGTTTGTTCACCGGCAGGGTGATATATATTCTTTGTAAGGTCTTTTGTCAGCAAGTGCATCTCAGCTTCAATCGGTCCGTTGCCTTTCTTTCGTCGAATGAGCCACTCGTTCATGAACATCTTTTATCCTGAAATACCGAGGGAGCGTCGTAACGACGCAAAAATGGAAGGCACATGCGCTCTCACCAATAGCATGAGCCTTGCGTGATTGACAGCCTCAAACTGCCATATATCTTCGCCGCAACACACCAGGGTGTCATCCCAGATAGTGACGCGACAGGATGGGACATTTTGCGTGCTGTGCATACCCTCTAGAGCTCGCCCACAAATCACACATATTCTCGTATCTCCATCTCTAGAGTACTCACTCTCAGACAACCGTACACCGGTCTTTGATACCCAAACATCTTGGTCGCGCTCTATATCAACAAGAAAGCGGGGCTGGAGCTTGATTGAACATACCTAGATCCGGGCCCTTCGATCTCGTTCGAATTACACCAACTTCCTTCACAAAGAGCATGCCAATTATTTCCACGATTCCAATATCTCCCATTTAAATGCCAAGATAGTAACGAGCCAAGATTATCATGCACTACTCGGTATCCGTTCTATCCAGAAAGGAGCAATAACTTACCTGCAAAGGTTAATCCTGATACCACAACGATGCCCAAGTTTGCAAAACTCCAGTCGCATATGGAATATCCATCTTTTTCTACTTTGTTGTGCTCATTCAAGTCAAGTACCTCGATCCCAAATCTCAACATCCATAGACTGTAGCACAACCCTCCGCTCCTGATCCTCTAAACTGGCATACTTATGCGATTTCGATGACTCCCTGGGAAAGCTCTCATCTGTTAATATAGCGAATAAACACTTGCAACCGCGAAAGCAGACACTTCTTCTTTCAAAGCAACCATTGCAGATACGACGACAGAACGAGTTCACTGAGGAAATCGTTTCAGCTTAGGACTTCTCCAATTCAGGAAAAAGGCATATAGAGCAAGAGGAAAATCAGACTCGATCGTTTTCGAGATTTAGATCCTCAATATCACAAAAGTGGCGATGGCATCGAGTTACTGATACAGTCGGAGTCGTTTCTGAAATTGTCTAAATAATGTCTCGTCACTTTGGTGAAATTGAAAACGCGGGTCTACTTTAAAACAATCGATTAGGTTCACTGACGTCCACTTGGTAAAATCCACACAAGAATTGCATATCCTTGATCGTTGTTTTTACGTGCACGCACGATAAAAACCGTGCTGTGATGCGCATAGCCCTCACGGGAGTTAATTTTTTACTTCCATATTGGTTGATTACCTTCTCTATGCCATTTCAATAAGACTACATTTTATGGGCTCGGACTTTTGCTTCTACTCGAACGATGGAACCTGCTTCAATTGCCATATCGATTGACAGGTCAAACCATCCTTGTATTCGCATTTCTGTTCCAACATCGAAATTCTTCAATTGGGAAATTCTAAATCTTACTGCATGGCACAAATTACTAATTTCCATCGACTTGAGATCCGCCAATCTTCCGACAAAAGTGCCGAATACCTGTCACCTAGAGGTAGGCATCCCTAACTTTTCGTCCGAGACAAAGCGAAGCAAGCCTGACCTTTCCGCGACCAACTTGCAACACTTTGCTACAATTGACAAAAGAAAAAAACTCCATATTTCACACCGTGATTCCTATGGATACCAACCATACAGTGGCATACATACTCGTATTGGTGGAGAAGAAAAGCTTGCTTTATTTTTAAAATCATCTCCTTTGTACATGGGGCGCTAGAGCTGCGCTTAAGTCCCCGACTTGCATTGCAGGGTAGAAAGGGGTTATTCTCCGAATATAACTATTCTCTCATGCTATATCGGCTTTAATGGGCCAATGGAATCCACTGCTTTTTCTAATCCCACTATATTAAATGGAGATTTGGAAAACTGAATCAATTGAATCGCTTGCTTATGTTGAAGCCCTACTACTTTCAGCACAAATTTCAATGACTTATGCCCCTTTTAAGCACTAGAAAGCTTCCCCACAGTGGCTTAACCCTATTGAAACAGGAGTTGCATACTTTCTGGCAGCACGAGTACAAGTTGATATTGACAATAATGGTAACGGAAATTGTTACGAAACATACAAATTTTCTGAAGTCACTACAAGAATAATCATGAATTACTGTGGTTGACAAGGAAATGGCGTTATAGTGTGTGCCCAACAAGTGTTGATTAGTACTCAGGTCCCATAAAATCTGTGTATAGAGATCACGCCAGAGTTGTGCGTTCATCTCAAGTTCTCAACCGTTATCCCGTCAGCCGATCGTTCCGCTGCCTGTCTAGTGTCTGTTTTGTTAAAGGCGTGCACGGGTAACGGCATCTCAACGATGAAGAGATCCCTAGTGAAAAAGGTCCATCTCCCCACCCTTGACAGGGCATAGCCATGACAATCCTCAAAATGTCATCCTTATGGACACGAAGAATTTGCGGCTCCCACCACATTCGTGGCTTCCAAGTTCCAACCTTTCGTTGTTGATTCCCAAGCCGGGTTTCCTTACCGCCTTGCATACCCGCTGTTAGGAATACTGGGTCTGCAAATTCCGTTTATCAATCTGCTCTTATATTCGGTCTACTTCATATATCGGCGGGTGATATGTACGATATCTCCATGGACGCGCCCTTCAGACAACGATTTCCAAGCAAATAAGCAAGTTCGGGCCCGCGAATTGTCCTTTTATTTCCGTGTTTGCTAATATATGATTTCTTTTCGAGGACTTTTTCATCATCACTGTGGGGATAGAACAAGCAATCTATGGTTAAAATTTGCGTAGTGCTTTAAAGGTTTTTAAGCATTGTATATATAATCTTATAATTTCATCGTACATATCCCCCAAGTTTGATTTCTCACAGCTCTTTACACACAACTTCCATTCACACAGTTGCTCAAACATAAGACCGAACGACCGTTAAATCCTTTGAGAACTAAAGTTTACAGGGCTTTCTTTACATTGTATCCACATTCCGATCTTCTGTGATAAGAATCTTAGAAGTTGCAGGACATACAAGTAATCCATATTTCTATGCACATCCCTTGTAGACCTCAGCCAAGACCCGCAAAACCCGCTTTCTTCAAGACTCCCATAAATAATAAATAGATCTGCTTGCCCCCGGGCGCGAGAGATCCCCTTTTTGAAATGGAGGAGCATCGCAGCACGAGGATTGAGTCTAGTACAGGGTTTGAAGATATATCTAGATTAAATTTAGGAACGGATATTGATCGGGATCATTTAAACAAGACTGTCGGCACGAATCCGGACACCGAGGCAGACATATTTATCCCGAATTCAAGAATGGATACCGGTAGAACGTCAAAGGAGCATGGGAATGTGAATGAGGGGAAGTGGAACGATAGTGATAGTATCGATACGGAGCCCTTTCCCGGACAGGGCATCGATGGAGAAGTGCTAGGAAGCAGTCAAACGACGACGTTGGCAAAGGATGATGTAGACGTGGAAGCACAAGGCGAGAAAGAAAAGGAAGATGCGTTGAGATTGGAAAGGGAGAAGGAAGAACATGATCCGAATCTGGTAACCTGGGATGGACCGGATGATCCTGATAACCCGATGAATTGGGATACGAAAAAGAAATGGTTCGTAACTGTCATCTTGGGCTTAATGACTTTTGTCGTTACCTTCGCGTCGAGTGTTTTCAGTACAGCTACGATTGTAGTTGCAGAGTTATATGGGGTGTCAGAAGAAGTTGCTGTTTTAGGGACGTCGTTGTTTGTGCTGGGTTTTGGTGTTGGTCCTTTGGTATGTTCTATACTTTCTCTGACTTCTCTGTCATCAATATAAAACGTTTGGTTTGAGATGATAGAACTAACACAACTTAGATATGGGGACCGGGATCCGAACTCTTCGGCAGAAAAGTTCCCCTCTTCTTCGGCTACGCCTGTTTCGCCATTTTCCAAATCCCCGTCGCTGTAGCTCAAAACCTCCAAACTATCATGGTTTGTCGATTCTTCGGCGGAGTCTTTGCTTCCGCCCCATTAGCGATTATCGGAGGAGCGTTGGCAGATTTCTTCGGCCCGGTCGATCGAGGTGTTGCGGTTTGCGTTTTCGCAGGGGCAACTTTTATCGGTCCAATTGCGGGACCAATTGGGGGTAACTTCATCACACAGTCATACCTGGGTTGGAGATGGACGGCTTGGATCACGATGATTCTTGCCGCTGGTTTCGGAACGCTAGGTCTGATCTTTGTGCCTGAGTCTTCTCATCCGAAGATTCTCCAACAGCGGGCCGCGAGACTGAGATTCGAAACAAAGAACTGGGCAATTCATAGCAAAGCTGATGAAGTGAGTAATTCCTTCTCTTGTTTTTACCCTTTTCACTTAACCTCTTCCTTCTTTCCCCAAAATGCCACTACACACCAAAACCGATCACATTGCTAACCTCAATTCCAGCTCAAACTCACCCCCCACACAATCTTACAAACCTATCTCCTCCGCCCCTTCATCATGCTCTTCCAAGAACCGATTCTCCTCCTCATCACCCTCTACATGGCTCTCATCTACGGCATCCTCTACCTCTTCTTCGAAGCCTACCCCATCTCCTTCCAACAATCGCGCGGCTGGGCCCCGGGCCTTAGTGCCCTCCCCTTCATCGGCATCCTCATTGGCATCCTCCTCGGCACCGGAACCATTTCCTGGGTCACCAAGACCCGCTTCGCGCGCAAGCTCGAAAAACACGGCAAAGTGATCCCCGAAGAACGTCTCCCCCCCATGATCCTCGGTTCCTTGATCCTCCCCATCGGACTCTTCTGGTTTGCCTGGACCTCCAACCCCAACATCACCTGGGTGCCCCAGGTCATCTCGGGTATCTTCATCGGATGGGGTATCTTGATGATTTTCTTGCAGGGCTTAAACTACATCATCGATGTTTACATGTGGCATGCCAATTCGGCAATTGCCGCGAATACTTTCCTGCGAAGTTTTGCGGGCGGTGGGTTCCCGCTCTTCGCGCAGTATATGTTTAATGGATTGGGAGTTGCGTGGGCAACGAGCGTGTTGGCTTTTGCATGCGTGGTTATGATTCCTGCACCTGTGCTATTTTTTATCTACGGGGCGAGAGTGAGGAAGATGAGTAAATTTAGTCCGAGTGCTTGAGCGGCTTTGGGATGACTTTGTGTGGAGGAAGAACGTCGAAAGTACGCGGTTGCGCACACTTACGAGAATGCAGGCCGGGAATGACGTGCATGGAAAGATGGATTGACGGAAATAAAAAGGAGGACACGATATGATTTATTCGCCATGATCATACATACATACCTACCTACATATATATATGTATGTATTTACGGTCTTGAGATGAGATGATGTTTTTGCATTGATATTATGCACTACGTATGAGCATGGACGATACCAGTATGATATTTTTGAAGCATTTGCATAGCGAGGAGTTATTGACGGCATTGGAGGTATACACATACACATAATACTGTATATTTCCATATGGATAGGTAGACAGATAACTAATATAGATAAATAAATAAATAAATAGATAGAGATAATAAACTAAACAAAAGTAAGAATTTACTTGACAGATACAAAAAGCACTCATTTTACCTTCCCACTCGTTTGATGTGGATACACTCCAATAATCTAAGAAACCACCCTTTTAATCCCAAGACGATAGTCATCTGTTTCCTGCGTAACTCTTCCTAAGGAATACATATAAAAACCTTCCTCGAGGACTCGCAACGGCTTACCAGGTATCATGTCAGTTACCACTTGAAAGAATATCCATACGCGATTTTACATCATCCCAATGCACTCAATTCCCTTTCATCCCTTCCCAATCTGCCCCTACTAATTAGATTCCGACACCCTCTACTCCATCATGCACATATCACCACATCGCTAAGCCACGACCTTCACTAGTTCATCTCAATTTTCACTTCTGTCATTCGCCCAATCCACTTCATCCAATCTCAGCCCCATAGGAATATTCAATTTTAATTTGCCTAATCAATCTAACTACTCCCAACTTCTCCCCCTATCACTCTTCACCCTGTGATATAACCTGCAATCTACCAACTCCGATCTCAATCCTACTTCAACCGCCATTCTCACTTCATCAACTCCCCAATGATATCCCCTCTACTACCGACCACCGTACCTCTCCTCAATCTCGGGTCGTAACCCTCTCTGTCCCTGTCTCTCTCTCCATCCCTCGCACTATCTCTTGTCTCTCCTCTACTTCTCCCCCCTCTACTCCTAGCACCCCCATTTCTCTCTCCTTGATCCTCCACTTCAGCATTGCCTGCTTCCGGTACCCCCAAATCAATTTCTGCCAACCCGCTCAATTCGCCCTGTGGGATCGGCATACTCCTCTGCGTTGTCGTAACCTCCTTCTCCTGCACCACCCTCTCTCTCACATCCCCACCTCGACTCTCTCTCCCACTATTGCCCATAACCTTTCCCATTCTATCATCTCTAAAATCCATCTCTCATCACCATACCCCCCAGCCCCTCCAGCCGGTACAAATTACGAGTCGTAATCTTCTCCTCATAACTATACTCTCTAACATCATCCCCACCATCTCTGCTCCCACTCAAGCTCCTCCTCACTGTCTCAACAACATGTTTCCTCTTCTCTTTCAGCTTCTTCTCTACCTGAACCAACGTATTCAAATTTGCATGTCTAGCCTCCAAACTCTTTTCATCTACCAATCGATTTTTATTTCGAATTTCGGTCCACCTCGTCATACTGCCCATTTCCAATACGCTCATTCTGCGCATGATGTGTGTTGGGTTCCCAATAATAATGGGTCTCCATTCTTCATCCGCACCATTTCCCGTGTTCCCTTGAATATATTGTTCCCTCTTCATTGCCTGATAACGTTCCATCTCGCCAGTCTTCGATTCCGGGATAATTTGTACATCTTGAAACCGTGCAAGAACACAGATGAGAAGAATGGAGAGAATCAGTAAAACACCACACATGACGCCCGTAGCGGCCTGTTGACCCAGATGTCTTTGTGCCACTCCTCCAATACCACTTGCCATCGCTGCAATACAGAATCCCATTCCTTGCGTAATTCCAAAGGCAGCACACACACGTGGAAAACAGGAGTAATTGGTTACTTTTCCGGTTTTACTCCCGCTTCTTGGGCGTCCCGTCATACCAGGCTGGAGATCCGAAGTATCGAAAGTTTCCATAATAATACCATTACATTCAGCGACTGCAAGGTTCGAGAGAAAACCAATTGCAGCAGCCCAAATGATAGGCAACATAAATGGAACGGGTGGTCCAGTAGATGAAAGTGTATAAGCTAGGCCCATGAATGGAAGAAGTATAACAAAAATTGTACGACGAACGAAATGAGATGATAATGAGACTTTCTTTTTCTTCAAAGTATCATCGTCACTTTCCATCCCCTCTTTACGTTCTCGACTGAAGATTCCTGCTTTTTGGAATGGAACAGAGAGGAGTGCACCGAGCGGAATTGATGCCACGCTTGCCCCAACATATGGAGATTTGAATTTATAGTATTTCGAAGTCAGTGAACCGAGAAGCTAGCCCTTGTTAGCAAAAGTCTTTATTTTGGAGATTTTTACCGTAGCTTACAATCATGATCAAAATAATCTGACCATAAATCCACGCCTGATAGAATGCTAGAACCAGAAATCCCGGCTGACGCATCATACTCTTCGTCAACAACACACCATGATGAAATTCCTCGCCCCACCACTTGGGTCCGGTATGAACTCTATGCATTTTAACCTCGCCCTTTGCTAATCTTCTAGAAACCTGATCGTCTTTCCTTACTTCGGCAACAGATCGTCTAAAGGCAGAACGTCGAACTTCGGGAGCAACAACATTCAAAACCAAGACTAGAGCAAGAATGGCAATACTAATGTAAAAGCCCCAAGCAGGCGTCAAAAAGTTGATAATGACTGCACCTAGCAAGAATCCAACCCCAATAGACCCAACATAACACCAGGTCCATATTCCCAACCACAGACCCATGCCCCCGCCATGACGTCTGACATCACCCTCATCAACGTATTCTTGATGAGGATTAGCACTTTGAAGTGACGCGCCAAAGAGATCCATCAAAGTGGACAGAAAGTTCATGTTAGCAAACCCAAGTGCAAATCCCATGAATGATCGAGACAGAAGCAAACCAATTCTCCAACCGGCCAGTTGTGGATTTCGAGTTGCACCAACAGCCAGAGCTTGAGGAAAAAGTAGCGGCATAGCAAGTGACATTGAACCAAGAATATATGGCTTTCGACCGTGCAAGAGTGGAAGCGGCCAAAAGAAAGTTGTCGGAATAGCAAGACCTATGAAAAAGAAAACGTTTCCAAGAACCGTGAAATGGTGCAGGTCCACAATCGAATATTGAATCGAAGGGACCTCACCAGCATAAATCCCGATTACAAGACCGATGAGGAACGTACTGAGGCACGTTATAACAGCCGTGAATCTCTTGCGGGAAGGAGACCAATCTCTGGCAATAGGTCTGCGCTTATGGGTTCTTGATAGACTGAATCCTTTATGCTCTTTCAGACTGATATGCCTTTTACCTTGCAGATTGAAAAAATGATGGCTCATATTCATGTTTATGTTTGCTGATCGGTTTGAGCCATCTCGGTTCATGCCCGGGCGCTGGTCTCGTAGTTCCACTACTTTATCTCTGTCTTCTTCACCCCCAGCACCTGCTCCCGCTTCTCCACCCTCGCCACCTTGTGCAACCTGCCGGTATTGTGTCTGAGCTCGACTTCTCAGTCGACTCCGTGGTTGACTTCGAGCTAATCCATCTCTTCCTTCGACATGCTGCATAATGTATTCATGATGGAATCCTGTCTGAAAATCAACCGTCTCAGAGGGGTGTGAGCCATCAAGACTATTCGAGACCGAAGATTTACCACGCAGTGTTGTGACTGGCAGTTTTGCGAGTGTCGTTGTGTCCTCTTCATAGAGTTGCTTTCCAGGACGCACCTCTTCGCCACTCTGGGAACGCAAAAGACTGGGAGATTGGTAGATCGTAGGATGCTCAGATATGTCTTGCCAGCCAAAGCCGCCCGATGTGGTTGTTCTTGATGGTTTCTGCTTTTATTAGTATACTTTGGATAGACATCTTGTATAAAGCATTCTATAGTATAGAGGAATATATGCCATTGACATACCTCAAGATTGCCATGAACTGGATTGGAATTGACCCTATTGGACTCAGATGATGGCGAAACTCCCGCAGTGCTCTGTCTTGCTATACTGTGGGGCTGTGTTAGTATTCTCTGTTTCTTTACATCCACCGGAATATCCAAAGCCTGTAAAGCTCTAGAGCTATCCCACGTTGCACTTCGTTCGCGTCTTCTAAAAGCTTGGTCGGATATATCAAGGCTAGGATCGATTATCTTCAGGTATTCTTGCTTTTCTACCGGCGCCTCGATAATAATGTCCGTGGTAGGTGCCTGGTCTATGATTTCATAATCGGTAAACTCATCATCGTCATTATTGCCTTCGGTGCTTGTTCCAGAATAACTGCGAGCACTTTCGTGAGCACTTGGCAAACTTTCAACGCTTGACATTACTTCTGCTCTAGGTCTTCTACGAACTTTCTGGGAGACAGAAGTTTTTCCACTATCCATGAATTGGCGACCACCTTTCAAGATTGCAGCTGCGTTGTTGAGAATGTTTGGGACACTGCTGTCGTCATTCCTCTCCGCAGCTTGTTTCGCAATCGATAGTGCTTCATTGAGAAGTTTTTCAAGATCGTTGATAGTCCTTGTAAAAGTTGCTGCAACAGCTGCCCCCTTGTCTTTCGGATCAGCAAAAGTGATCTTCGGCTTCGTCTCGAGGGGGCTTGGTGTAGCGCCAAGAAAAAGTTCCTCTACAGCCTCTGTTGGTGCCGTGAATGACCTTTGGCGACCACTAGACCCGCTTAGAGCTTCGGCACGTCGAGATCGGGGTGGTAATGCGGTCAGCCTAGGTGCGTATGCATCGTTACTGCTCAGTAGCTCTTTGAGCCAATGAACGGTATTTTTGCTATTCATTGTCCTGTCATCCGAAGTAGTATTGGTGGTAGAGTCTGCAACTGACATCAACGCTCCCTTTGAGCCGCGTCGCCTTGAAGCATCTTTTTGCGAAGATGTGGGTGATGCATTTGCGGTGCCATTCTTGGAAGCCTGAGCACGATTTTTTGAAGAATCTCGTGGAGGGATAGCATCATAGATAGCGGTAGTGGCTTTTGAAGATTCATGTCTCCTGTTTCCGCTAGTTGAGCCAAGAGGTATTTCTTCCATTTCGCCCGCATTTGCTGCAAGGCCTTGAGATTTAGGCACTTCTTCCTTGGTTGGAGAGAAGTCGATTCTTGATATCTGAGCCGACTTGTCATCAAAGTAAGATTCGGGGGCTGAATCAAGAGCCGATTCCGGTGCCTGGGTCCATAAAGAATCTCGTCGAAGATATTCATCGGCAGTTTTAGCTGCTTCAGCTAGGGAATCAGCAACAAGCATCCTGTAGGCATCAGATGCCTCGGTCTTTTCAATCCCAGGTGGTACGACAATGTCTTGTATAGCATTACGAACAGCTACCTTGACTGCATCTTGAACGGCGTCTCTGACTGCAGGGACAAAGCCCCAGTAGGATGCATTTAGGGGGTCGATCGACGGAAAGACTTCAGAGGCATCTCTTCGCTGTATTTCTTCAACGGACTTCTGATCTGTAACGACCTTCTTACGAGCTTCATTGCGTTCAGGAATATTGGGTTTGTTACTAGAAGTATCTCCGAGGTTCTCCGTTGACTCTGGTTTCTTGGGAACGGTTACAACAGCAGTCAATAATGGGACTGATGGACTTGACTTGTCAATGTAGCCTAGCTTGATACATGAAGGCGATATCTCTTCTATAACAAATTTGTTATGCGATGACATCTCAGAGGGGTCCGCAAGGTCGTCTTTCTCATTTTTACGGTTCATTGAAGAGAGACTAGCTGCTGCAGCAAGATCTGCTAGTATTGGCTCTAGCGGTATCTTTGTGCCCAAGCTTGGCGTGGCGATCTGCTGTGGCGAAGTAACCTTTTCTGCCGCGCTATTGGATGCTAATGTTACAGGCGTTAAGACTGGTGAGACTGGCAGCCCAGTATCTACTGGCGTACCTGTGGCTAGAGATGTTTTGAGCAAGGAGTGGCGGACAGAGGCTCTAGATTCTCCAGAAAGTAATGAAGGTGTTTTTGGTTTAGCTCGAATAGATCCAACGGAGGGAGATCGGCCTAGTTTGGGCGGCACAGCCTGTCGCGTCTCATCCTTAGATATAGAAACAGCAGTCTTGGACTTGGGCCCTGGCAAGCTGAAATTGGTGACGACCGCTGAAGAAAGCGGTCGGGTAACTAATTCATCCACAGCCATCTCACTGGTTTAAAACATGAGGAAATGTGTCAACCGAGCTAACACTGCTTCCTCGGGTTGTAGGTGGAGATCCTTCAGTATCTCTTGGATTTGTTATGGTCGCCGTTCTGAAGGAAGACTCTGATTTCATATTGTCTTCGACACGAGATTCGCGTGATTTGGGTTTGTAGCCCAAGGATTGCCCTAAAGCCTCATGAGCTTTGATATCATTGAGTGCAAAGTCAAGGTCGGCAATATCTTCTTCGGCCAGCCTTATGTCAATATTGAGCTGATCCCCCGGAGGCATAATATTGGGTAGTGGGTGATAGATGTAGTGTTCTTGGCAATTTGGAGGACATGTTGGGGAACAGACGATTTCTGGTTGGCCCTTCACTTCTTCTGGAGGAGACTGGGGAAGAGTGGAGAATCTGGATAACTTTGCATCGGCTACTGCAAGTTCCGGAAATTCTGCGTCGGCTGGCTGCTCACAATGAGGACAAGTCGAATTGACATCCTGATCGGATTTATCTTCGGTAGGAACTTTGTGGTATATATTCTTTAACGGTGGCATGCAGGATCCAACTGCGACTTTGGTACCGCTGGGGTAATCAGGCTCTTTGATGTCTCGTACTACCAATCTAGGAAGCGTGAAATACTTCTTCTTGGGTGTAGATGTTGACTTGAGTAGCTTTGAATCAGTGGAAGGATCAATGTCACTAGCACCACCGTCTATCCGAAGATCGTTTGCAGAACTCGAGCCTCTTAATCTAGCTGTACGTTTCGGAGACACACTAGGGTTGGAGTTTTGTCGAGATATTTGAAGAGGTGGGACATCGATATCCATGCTACCGTCAGAGCCCCGAAAGTTACAGGCATATGGCTCTACGCCCAAGTATCCAGAGTCAGAGTGTGCACCTCTTGCAGGCTTTTGGGGCTGATGTAGTCGTCGAGGCTTCCGAAAGCTCTGTTTTCGTGGCGCGGGGGGTTGCGCTCGTCAGATGGATGAGGGGTTCGAGGGGGGCGGCTTGTATTACGAGATAAAACTAGTGCACGAATGCGAGAGAGGATATCCTCGTCAACACGACAATTCGTAGGGTACTCAAAACTAGTACTCTGTGCAGAAGATGTTCTTCTGCGGCCAATGACAGATACTTCAGCCGGCCCAACGGACGGGGAGTCCATCGGTCGTTGAAAATGTGATATTTTAAAGGTACATGAGGTAATGAATATTGTAGGATGTTTGTGATAAAATGAATGTAATCAAATGAGTGTAATGACTTAATTCTGTTGTATACTAATGAGTGTGAAGCTGTTTAAGTTGAATTGAAGATCAATCAGAGATTAAATATAACAGGAAGGAGTAATTGGGGGATTTCCATAGAACAGGATTCCGCGAGCATCCATAAACTAAACGCAACTTGTACCTTCCCTTTGAGTATGGCAGCACTTGTTACTCACTCGTCATTAGCACCTGTATTGAACTGGAAACACTGTAAAGTTCAATGAGCAATTGCTTTCATATGAAATCCTATCTGAACTCGCTAGCTTATGATGTTTGTGATTTCCAGGCCCTTTTAAAATCGTTGCATATGATGAACGTAGCCAACAATTATTTATACTTATTTCTTGCAATGAATTGTAAGCTATCATTTTGGTTGGAAGGACCGGTAGGCGCAGGCGCTGTATCCCGTGAACATGATCTATTGATATTTGTGGCCTATTACTCTTCATCTCCATTCTTGAAGTCTTCACTGACATCTTTGTATATATCAAACCTTCTCTGGGTCTGTATCGGGATTCCCTTTCTGGTCTCTTCAATTTTTTCTCCATTTAATTCAGCATAAACGATTTCCTCTTTCTCAGCGGCTTCAACAAGCACCTGTGCCATTGGATCAACAACCAAGCTGTGTCCCCAAGCATGGTAACTGGCAGTTTCATCTCTAGCAGGGCTGCACAAAGCCACATATATCTGGTTGTCCATAGCTCTTGCCTGCCCCTGCAATCTCCAATGTAGAGGACCTGTTGTAGTATTGAACGCGCCAGGGTATATCAAGGCAAAACATCCCTTTCGGGCAGCAATCATGGCTAACTCTGGGAATCGAACATCATAGCAGATGGCCACTGCTATCTTACCGTATTCTGGCAGATCAATCATAGTAACATGATTACCTGGAGAAAGAACCTCCGATTCTCTGAATGTGATCTTCCCGGGAATATCGATATCAAAGAGATGAACTTTTCTATGGGTAGCCAACAGTTCACCAGATGGAGAGAATGTTAACGAGGTATTGTAATGATTTTTGGTGGTGGGAGAGTATTCTGGAATGCTACCGCCTACGAGATACGTTTTTGTCTCCGCGGCCATCGCACTGAGGGCGTGGAATGAGGGCGATTGTTCAGAAGTGGGGGGAGAAGGTAGGAGAGTATCCGCATATTTGGGGAAATATTGAGTACCGTAGGGAGAGTTAAAACACTCGGGGAGTACAATAATTTTTGCACCGGCTGATGCAGCTTCAAGAACCTTTTCGCGGGCATGTGCAAGATTCTGAGATTTGTCAGAGCCTGTTGTGAATTGATTAGTCTCCTATGGTGTATCACAATGAACTTCGTTAACGACTAGGCATGGAAGGACGAACCACTAGCCAGTTGTATCAAGGCGATTTTGACTGGTTTCTTAAGTAATTGAGACATGTTGCGTATAGCTTGCTTTGGAAAGGAAATTCGTTGTACTGAGGTGAGCTTGGGTAGATATCTTAGAGCAGTCCTGATCATGATACCGTGATGTGAATTTCGTGTTGATTCCCCCGCGAATACAAGATTTCATTGGAGCTCGAAGTGGGATGGGATGGCAAATATCGGCTATAGAGTTTCCGTATGGGACGTGCACTTAGCAACATCGAACTATCTACCAGTAGTGGCTACCATTTCCAGCCCTATCCGTACCTTTAATTCAGGGGAACACACGTGGAAACCAGGTATTATAGTAATTTACAGATGAAGATCAGTCGGATATTACAATTCATGATATATTTCTCTTCGTCATTGGCCACTGGTCAAATCAAATCAAATAACACGGTTCTCATAAAGTCCTGCTACCTCAATCAAGGGAGAAAATATGATCATGCTTGTGTTGTCTTTTATTCATTTTGGGTATGATATTTCCTAGCTAGAGGTATGAGATCCGCAGATCACTAGCTAGCTTCGAGCAAACTATATCCACATATATTTGTGATGTATGCCTAAAGTTCTGTCTCCTCAACGCGGAGAGAGTCAAGCCGGATCAACACCTTACTTCAAGGCAGCACGGGCGAAAGTTGGCAAAACAAAGCTGGCCTCGTGGATAGCAGCGTTGTAGTAACGGCACAACTTCTCTTCCTCTTCTGGGGACCATTTGCGGAGTGGCTTGCTGAGATCGCGGTTGGCGTCCTTGCAGCAGACCATGAATCCAATTTGGCCAGATGGGTAGGTAGGAATGGTGGTATAAGCGTATTCGACGTTAGGAAAAACTTCCTTGCAGTCCTTCTTGAGCTTGGTGATCAATGGGAGGTGGAGCCATTGGTTCTCGGCTATAGAGAGGATACATTAGCGTTCAAGACCTTCGTAAAAAATTGAGATGGGCGTTAGAAATATAGAAGGAAAAGTAAAAAGCGTATGTCATTTGCCCATCGCTACTACACACAGCACTAGAAGTGTAAGCACAGAGAAAGGAAACATACAACCTTGTGTGGTAATAACGCCACCCTCCTTAAGAGCACCAAATAGCAACTCAAAGTATGGCTTTTGGAACAAGCTCTCAGCGGGTCCCTCTGGGTCAGAAGAATCGGTGATGATCACATCAAATTCGTTCTTGTAATCATCCAAAAACTTGAATCCATCACCGATGTGAGTCTTGACTTTAGGATGTTGATAGCTGATAGCCATTCCAGGGAGATATTTCTTGGAAAGACGGATGACAGCCTATTTTCACAATGTTAACAAGAAAAAGGGCCACAACTTTCGGTTTCAGCAACCCACCTCATCGATGTCGCAGAGAATGGCTTCCTCCACACAGTCATGCTTGACAACCTCACGCAAGACACCTCCATCTCCTCCGCCAATGACCAAGACCTTCTTTGGGTTTGGGTGGGAGTTCATAGCCAAGTGGGTGATCATCTCCTGGTATGAGAACTCATCGCGCTCAGTGCATTGGATGACGTTGTCGAGGACCAAGACGGTGCCATAGTCGGTAGATTCGAAGATTAAAACATCTTGATATTTGCTCTTCTCGTGGTGAAGGACGTTCTTGACCTTGAGAGTCATTGCCTGTCCGGGCCACATCTCGGAGATTTCGCGGAACCAGCCATCTGCGATTGTCTTATTAGCTTCGGGTACGTTCTTGCATATTGCCGAATGTAGCACGTCTTTCGCAGATGTTGTATTTGGAGCGACATCAAATGCAAGCCAAAGAAGCGAAGCATTAGTCAGACAGTGCCCATTTGAATGTCGGGTAATATGGCATGCCTTCCCCTCAGGGATGTGTCTCACTTGAGATAATATTGCGACCATGTCTTTCACAGAACGCAACGATACAAGGGCAAAACAGAAGGATAGAATGAAAGTTACTCAGACATACCCTTGATAGTGGGGTGGGTGATCTCTGACATCTTTGCTATGAGTTTGGAGGAAAATCGATTTGATAATAGAGTAAGGTTGTATCGCGGAGGAGAAGTGAGGGGCTTCAAAAAACGAGTACGAAATATATTGAGGAGAAAAAGATGAGATCTTTGCTTGATGGAGGCTTGGAGTGAATGAATGGGTCTCGGTTATCTTGGTTGAATCCTTAGATTGCAGGTACAAATGGTTCTTTTAACAAGTGAATGAAAAAGAAGTGGCAATGGTAGAAATTTGCAAGAAGTAACAAATAATGGGCCGCTCGCTGTCAAAAATACCTAGATAACGTTAATGGTCTTGAAGAGTTTTTTTCCTCCTTGTTGATATGACCGCGGCCGCTCCCAAATATTTTTTACCCCACCATGCACCTCACTCGAGATGAGATCCACAAACTTGATATGATTGGGCCAGATCTCGTGATGGTTCAAAAGAAGTTAGCTTAAGCTTATCCGTCATTGGCTAGAATTGGATTGAAGTTGGATCCACTTCACTCAATATGCACTAGCGTGAGTTGCTCAAATAGTCAAATCACGAGTTTTTCCTCCCCCATGGTTCAATCTGAATGTTGATTTGTAACTGGCTAATGCATCCATAACCTGCACGCCGCAAATTAAAGGGTTCAGCAATACTCGATTCCTCCAAATTGAGTCTTGATCCTGGAAAATCTCACCAGTAAAAGATGGCGCCTCGGGGGCCAAATTCAAGTGAAGAGAGAGGCTTTAGGTGTGCGATAAATGACGACTATGTGGGCTTACCCTTGAATCTCTGAATGGTTAAATGTCGTTAGTCGGACAAAAATACTCTGGAGAAAGACGAATCAAACTGCCCAACCGGAAGATGGCCACGGTACCCTTGCTTAATTGTCGTCTAGACATCGAGGGATAAATGATAGTGGTTCTTTTCAGGAATGAGAAGGGGGGATCTTGGAAGACTATTGACGGTCCGTACCTAATGCATCATTTCTGCATTAGCTAACTTTAACTTATCTCAGTACCGGACGGGAGGGAGCAGGTACGTACGTACATGGTGAGATTTCTATCCAAAGTACCCAATAGCCAAGTTCAAATCCAGCTATTCTACTTCTGCAGACCTGAGCTCTTTGCCTCTTGCTATGACTTTGGGATGATTTCTCCTTCCTCTCAACGTTACCCTTTGACAAGAAGGTTTCAATGCTTATTCGTGTTTGTGACAGATTGATAAATGGAGCTTCCGCTATGCTATAGGCTGAACATATCCAATCCCTTTCGACCTCGTGCTGTTGATAGCGATGCAGCACTAGTATTTTCTCACCATTCCGGCCATGCTTCTTTACTCCGTCTGTCAGGTATTGCAGATAGACCTTGTATAACCCATCCTTGGCCTTGTGCTTAGTGCGGTAGTATCAATCGGACTGCGCCATTCAGCCATTCTCGCCCTCCTGCTTACAACCCCTGAACGACCATCTTTTCATCCGCATATAGGTACATTTTGCGATTACATATTTAAGCATCACACCTCCTACATGTACGAGTGAGGCGAGGGAAGACATTGCAAGAAACACCTTCCTTAAAGTACCTTAAAATTCTTCAGATGACGGTTACACTACATAAACCAACATCTCCATGGAGCATTTCAAATTAATGACTGGCCCATATATGTAAAAACCTTGCAAAACACTGCCCAGTGCCTATCTACCTTTGTGAACATAGACGAATCCTAGAAATATAGCTTCGTTTGACGTTTGATGTTCATTCGTCCGTTCTCGCCGTCGACCTTTGATCTTTCTATTTTCTATAACAGACCATTCACATCCATCGCCCACACTGTACACTGTGTCTATTGGTTGCCGCAGCGAGGGGGTGGACCTCTTAGTGCCCCTTTCACCTCAACATGAACCAAACTTTCGAGATTTCGGGACTGCATTTGACAAGCTTCTTAAATCTACTGCCGTACGTTTCCACGTTGCTTCCCTGTACATGCTTTACTTTCATGCATCTGTCGCATATGGAATGACCATTTCCATGTGGTTATATTTTGGAGTTCAGATATCCTGGTTATCCTTGTGCGAAGATTTTGAGACATTCGTACTAAAACGGCCGGCCGTCTGAGGTTACAATCGATAGCGATGGTAACAGTGACACGGTGTTGCTCACATCGTCAGCATCTGCCACACACATCCATATCACTCTCTTGTTAGTGGTTTGACGTAGAGGTAACTATTACACATCTTTTGATAATAAGCCCTAGAGATACACGATGTAATGAGCATGATAGGAATGCTGGGATGCTGGTACATTGAAATATGTTTCGATGCACCCGACATGAATAGAAGACTCACGGAGAGCTCGATGCACTCAATATTGAATGAAGGATCATCAGTATTGGAGATGAAAATAGAAATACACAATCGCGCGCGAATAAAGCAAAGTCGATGACTGGATAATCGTCCACATAGACGCTTTGAATCTCTCGCTCGTATTGATCTTGCACACCTCCCTAGGCAGATGTAAATATATCATCAATCTGTACATACCTACCACATACCTACCTACCTACCTACCTTGGTACGGAACGAAACTTATAACCATCTTCCTTTCTTTTTTTCTTTCCCTTTTCTCTTTTCCCTTTTTCCTTTCTCATTTCTTGCCGTACGCCTGCGTCAATGCGTGTAAGCCAATAATTTGCAGCTGCCCAGTGTCTTTTCTTTTCCATGCTCATTAATAAGAGGCCGACAACCTTACACTTTTACCTGGGGGGTCATTTCATCCAATTCGGCTTCGAAATCGAGGATCATTCCTCTTCCGCTTTCCATTATTGCCTCTACCCCTTCCATCTCCATTTCTAATCCCGAATCAACATCAACATCTACCCCCTTCTTCTCCTTCTTCCATTCACCACCTGTCTACCACCCGTCAAGTAATCAATCTCATAAAAAGCCGAAAAAGACCGTTTATTGGGGTCACATTATCTGATTCACTCATCAGTCGTTGATATTAATATCCAAAAATCCCCACCCACACCATAATAACTTTCTTTTTTGTGGAGGGAGGTATTACACGATTCAATCCGACTCCATATTCCAATTCAAGACCAATCGGATATCAAACGTCGACCTCGTAACAAAATTCAACATCACAGCAGAACATCATCAATCCTACCTACCTTCTTCTTGCGCCGTGGAAGTAGTCGTGGTAATAGTTCTGGCCCTGCGAGGACTGCATGCACCAAAATCAAACTTTAACAGGATCGGCAATCCAAAGTTTATCTCATTAAACTGGTCCCCAGTAGGTATTTCAAATCATCAACACTTTTAGTCTTTCTACTGTGCCGGTCTATTTTGCATCTTCTTCAGAATCAACTGCTTATGACTGGATGAACAGGTCCCGTTCAATCTTCAAATCGACTTAATCTCCCGAGCGAGTTCCAGCCCAGATCCATCACTTTGCTTGCATAACCTTGGAAGCTATCCGTCAAATCCGCCCGCCCGTCTGGTCTTATCAACAGCGTCCTTCCCCGAAGAAAATTAAAATCGACGAACCATTACCATTACCATTACCGAATCCAACGCTCGTTCCTTTGAAGAAAGAAGAAATTTCAACGCTCTTCAGCACTTGACGCTTGACATTTGACACTAGTTCTGCAGGATAACTAACCTGGACCGAACTCATTAATTTACTTTTGCCTGGTACCAGCGGCGAATTAATTAATTCCGCACCGTTACCAATAGCTTGCCCAGCCCATCCCGATCCCATCTCATCCCATCCCATCCCATCCCATTCTACTGAAACTCAATTTCTCTTCTACCCTGATCTCCGAAGCGCTCGCCAGTCACCAAAGTGATCCCGACAGCAACTGAGAATCTTTTCTCTCTTTCCTAAACTTTACGTATTAATTTTGGCCCTTCATGATGTGTTTCGGCAGTAGGGAGGATGTCGAGGCCAAGAGGTCCAAAGAGATAGACGCTCTTATCCACAGAGATGAGAAGGTTATGCAGCGACAAGTTAAGTTGTTATTATTGGGTAAGTTGTCGCGCCCTCCACAATTCGCCAGAACGACGATCGATCAATCATCCTTTCTCGAGCTTCACAATCTCAAGATGAAGATGGCATTTACTAATTCTTATGTTCTGTAGGTGCTGGAGAATCTGGAAAGTCAACAATTCTAAAACAGATGAGACTTATTTATACCGATAAAGGTTTCTCAAAGACTGAAAAAGAAGAATGGCGCATTATCATCTTTCACAACATTTTGGATGGCTTGCGAATGACAGTGGAGGCAATGAATGATTTCAATACTCCTTTCGAACACGAAAGCACCAAAGTAGGTTAACCCTCAAATTCGCTTTCAATCTTGCGATCATTATCATAGGACATTGACTAATTACCTCATTCACAGCAATACCTTCCAATGATCACAGAAGAGAAGGATCTCAGACCATGCGAACCAATTCCTCTCGAATATCTCAAAGCATTCAATGATATGTGGGCAGATTCGGGTATCCAGAAGACCGTTGAGAGAGGAAATGAGTTTGCTCTGCATGATAATTTGGGCTAGTAAGTCTCTCTTTCAGCTCTGCGAAATGTACACTTCTAATATGGTGGGTTTTAGTTTCTTCGAAGATTTAGATCGTCTCTTCAGCAAGGAATTCGTTCCAACCGATCAAGATGTTCTTCGCGCCAGACTAAGAACTACTGGTATCACCGAAACACACTTCGATCTCGGCTCATTGCAATATAGAATGTTCGATGTTGGAGGACAACGATCGGAACGAAAGAAATGGATCCATTGCTTCGAGAATGTCAACGCATTGCTATTCTTAGTTGCTATCAGTGGTTATGATCAGTGTCTAGCTGAAGACAAGGATGGAGTAAGTCTCTCTCGGCCGCAAATCATTATACACCAAAAATTGACTAACACTTTGCCAGAACCAAATGCAAGAAGCTTTAATGCTTTGGGAGTCGATTGCTAACTCTCATTGGTTTAAACACTCCGCATTGATCCTCTTCTTGAACAAGATCGACTTGTTTAAAGCAAAGATTGGCCACAGCCCGATTACCAAGTTTGGTTTCTCCGATTTCCAGGGAGATACTACAAGCTCGCAACAAACCTCGAAATACTTCATGGACAAGTTTATTGCTCTGAACCGAAGTCCTGGGCGCGAAGTTTATAGCCATTTCACAAACGCCACCGATACCGATCTCCTTAAGGTCACAATGAGCTCCGTGCAAGATATGATCATACAGAGAAACCTTCAAAAGTTGATCCTTTGATAATTAACCTCTGTCTGTTCGGAGCCAAGCCTTCAAGATTCCCCATTCCAGAAAAAGCATGACCCCTCTCTATCTGAGCAGCACAGAACCCCCGTTAATATAAATACGACCATCTGCTGCGGTGAATATTAGTCCGCCTTAAAAAATATCGCATCGCATCTGCTTCTGGTCTTTTATGAGACGTCCCAGCGACGCCAGGCAAACATTCCATCTTACACCGCACATGGAGCAAATTTCTTTTCACCAAAATACCCACACACTTTAACCTGTCTTTTTTCTTTTTTCTTTTCTTAATTATTTCATTTGAGGGCAGATGGGAGATTATTCGGAGAATTTTCGAATATAAGATGGCTTGTATAATACAATCAACGTATCGATCAATTGGAGATGCAGTCTGCATCTGTTCGCTGTTCATACACGAATTCTCGGTTGATTAGACAGCTGGCGGTATCATGTTTATCCATGTATTTCTCTTCACTTGAGGATATACAATTCATACAATTCACAGCCTTGCTTTTATGCAATGTCGAACAACAGTGGAGGAGTTTCGCTTGCATGGAGAGGAGGAAGGAGAGAACAAAGGGAGTTTAATCTAATATTTTCAAGGATAGGTATTGACTGATTGGAACGAGAGAAACGAACTTGGGGATGGGATATATTTTCGAATTTTCATGCAGTTAGTTGGTTGGCCTCGCTTCTCTCTGGTGGATGTTGGTCTTATTTTAGATTTTATTGAGGGGAAGGGGAATACGTGGTAGCGGGGAAAAGAGAATGTTTGGAGTATGCATGCCACTGCACGTGCAGGGAGATGTTATTGAACGGAGGGTAGTGTGGGAGTGAGTCTTCGGCTGTTGAAGCGAATGTGGAAGTTTGAGATATGATACGAAGCGAGTGATTGATTGATAGAGAAATGAACTACATAACCATCCAAATCATACCCCATATATTACATGGTTCGTGATAGCATAGTTCGTGATATGTTATTCCTCGATTTCGATTTGAACTCGACATCGCCATCCCATCTCCCTTTTCCTATCCTATACATGCGGAGACAGAGGGCATACACGATGGAGTTGAGATCCCCCCTCGCTGTCTTGCTATCGTTATATGTATCTTTCTTTGCGGTAGTCGATCTATTGTTTTCTATAGTATTCTATTCTATTCTACTTCATTTCGCATGACGAACTCGAAGTATGTGTGTATGTGTATGTAGGTATGTATAGATATAATAATGTATATCTAGTAGGTAAGTAGTATAAATAGAGAATAGAGAATGAATTGTAATTTGTAAATTGTATTTTTGTTATTTTTTTTTGGTATTCTTGGAATTTATCTTCACATCCGTTTTTTCTTCCTTCAATTGGTCTTTGGTCTTGATTTTTGATTTTTGATTTTTGATTTTTGATTCGAATTGTTTGAATTTGGGCTCTTTTGAATTATTTTGAGTTGAGTTCTATCTACTTCTACTTCTACTTTTATTTTTCCTGAATTCCAACTGCCTGATTGCCCAATTGCCCCATTGCTCAATTGCACAGTGCAGTGACACTTTTTGTGTGTTTGTCTAGCGATAGATAGATACGGTGATGTATATCCATCTGATCTATCCATATATGTTTGTGTGCTGGTATGCTGGGTTCTACCAGTATATCTTCTCTTTCATCTATCCATCTCATATACAACACCTCTCATGTAGATCATTACGTGGATGGGTGAGTTCCCTCCGGTTCCTCTAGTTGATTGGAGATGGTGTCTGTCTATCCCCCGTAAAAATAGATATGCAGTTCCTAACGCCATGCATGCATGCTTCTCATCATCTCTCGCTGTACAATATCTTACACTCTTTCCTACAACTTTCTCATCTTCTAGAATCCTTGTCACTGGAGTATATGTGCAGCTGCATATGCACATACACATCAAGGCAACGCCCTCATAACGCCCTCAAACGCTACTAGCGCAACCGCGTTTGCAGGGAAAGCTCTCAAGAAACAGGGTAGGAAGCCTCTCCAATACCCTTTCCATCCACTCTCCCTATACACCTCCCTCGCCGCACTCTTCCAGTTTGGAAATCTGCGCACCCCATCTCCCAATCCACCAGCTAGTGGATCTGTCATAATCCGTTGTTTAACCACATCACTCGGGTAACTCGTCATCCAGAAAACCTGTGCCGAGAGACCGCCAGCCCAGAAATTAATGGCAGGGGTACTCAATTGTGTTTTTTCTGACAACAGACGAGTGAAAACATCGTACGAACCCCACCAGAAGAAGAAAAATGAACGGAAGAAAAGAGTAGCGGAGAGACCATGGTAGAGACCTGGTATACCATGATATCGGTAAATTTTACGTGCGCAGTCGATAGGACCGCTATATAGACGTTCGGATTTCTTACTCGAGTATTGGATTTGTAGACGTGCTTTTAGATGTTCGACGGGGGCCGCAATAAAACTTACGGTTGCGCCTGCCATGACACCAGCGAGGGCATGGCCTATAGTGGGCAGTTTGTGGATTTGAGAGGGCGTGAGGGCATCACCGGGACGCGCAAGACTAGATGGGGTGGCGGCCATGCGAGAGGGGGAGAAGAGGGTTTGATGGAGAAGTTTGCGGTAGAAGGTTAGGGAACCGAGCATTATACTATCCATGAACATCCAGCCTACTAAAGGGGGAGTGGCACCCTTGTAGAGACCGCTGAAGCCTTCATTGCGAATGGTGAGGAGAAGACATTGGAGTGGCCCGTTGAATTGGGATGATGTGGAGGTTTGAAGACGGACTTTAATGGTATCGAATGGATGCCCAACTGTTGATGGTATATGATTAGCATTTGTATTTTTCTTATTGCAAGATAGATAGCAATATCAATTGGCAAATCAACTCGCATTCATAAATCACCCAGCATTTTCTCTCCAAAATATAAACAGTGCTCAAATTCGCAAGCAAAGAAACCTCAAATTGTCATACCAGTAAGTTTCGAAACTCCCGAAAACACACCCGCCACGAATCCTCTATAATTCTTTGCCTCTCTCTTCTTCTCTACCATTTTCTCCCCACCGTCGGTAGTATTCCTTCCTATTTGCAACCGCGACATGGTGGCAGACTCACTCGTAGCCATTTCGATTGCCTAGATAGGCTAACTGATCACAAAATCCGCGAGTCTGTTGCAAACATTAAGTCTTGTCTTGTCTTGTCTGACCCTCGTCTGAAAATCACAATGAAGTCCACACCGATAAGACAGGGAGAGACAAGCTAGATGGGAGGAAGCTTTTCGCGAGCAAAGGATCGATTGAGCTTGCTTGCTCGTTTGCTTGGTTGGTTATCAAACAGTAGCTTGTAATTGGAAGGCACGATATTCTCGATTTGTTATGTCGCACAGCAAGGGTCTTGGATCGCCGTTATTTTAGATTGATAATACTTTGCAGCATATTGGTACTACCTAGCTTATTAATAGATCATATCCAATATGTTCGAACTTCGGATGGATGACGAGTTGAACTACCAAACTGGGTGGAGCTATGACTAGGTAGGAATGCTTTGAACTTTGAAGAATCATTTGGCGAAGTCGGAGGCCGTTGCGACCGTGAGCTTCCAAGTTCCAATTGACCTTTTCTTTTTTTTCTTCCTTCTATGATCTCTCTGCCTTATCGACGGGAATCGTCAATGTGTATACATGGTATTGATTGGCTAGATAAGCAACGATGAGAAGCTTGGCTGAGGATAGCTGAGGATAGCTGAGCATAGCGAGCATAGTAAAGCGGCCATCAAAAGCAAGGGAAGTGAGGGGCAGATGGGAATTCAAAGTGGGGGATTATCAAGATCTCGAAACTCGTCGGATGAATTTCGATTATCGTGAGACTCGAGTATCATGAAGCGGTCGGTATAAGGCTGGCTGATTGAACCTTCCCAAACTTCAGATTTTTCTCTTCAAACATGTATTTGTGGGTAAGTTACCTAGGCAGTATGCAATTAGAATACTTCAGATGTCTTTCTACTCACCATTTATTGAAGTTTGAAGCAACAATTGACGCGTTCACATCTTGGCAATTGGGATGAGTCCCGTAACAAAGTGTTTCGTATCTCCATTGGAGGTTTGCTGACATTAGGATATTTAAGGATGTTTAAAAGATGTTGTGATGTGAACCTGTCCCATTTTGATCAATTCTGAGCCAGTAGCCCAAGCACGCCTTTCTTCTTCTATTCCTTTCTACTGTATAAATACTTTTCAATCATTACTAAAGGTTACTTGCTCACTTCTTGCGCTCTTCCTTTCTTGACGAAAAGTTGTTTGTTATCTATCATTGAATACTAAAGCTGTGCTTATTCTTTTGATCAATTCATATATACCCGTCCAATACTACATAATCAATACATCTCACACGCAACACTTCTCGAAGTTGAAGAATATTTCAGGAAAATGACATCCTCCGAACGAGTTACCCAATCCAAGAAGGGTATGTTGTTCTGTTCAGGACAAAATTCGGCACATCTGCCCATCATATCAAAAAATGACTCAACTGACAATACCTTCTCCGCAGTCTGGACAACCCTCATAACCAACACCGCCTACCTCTCCGGTCTTCTAACCCTCGACTACTCCCTCAAAAAACACAACTCCAAATATCCTCTCGTAGCCCTCTACACCGATGCCTTCCCTCCTGAAGGCCACGCTGCGCTCGAAGCCCGTGGTATTCCTAAGCAGCGCATTGAATATCTTCTCCCAAAGAATGGCGGAAAAGATTATTCCAACGACCCTCGCTTCTACGATTGCTGGTCTAAACTCGCCCCTTTTAGTTTAATCGAATATGAGCGCGTTGTGCAACTCGATAGCGATATGTTGGTCCTACAAAACATGGACGAGTTGATGGAATTAGAACTCGATGCGCCGGAGGTGGCGGGCAAGGGACAGAGAGTTTTTGCTGCGGGCCATGCATGTGTCTGCAATCCGCTAAAGAAGAAACATTATCCTGCTGATTGGTTTGTTCAACCTCCAATCTATTCACTTTATCCGAAGGCACAACTAGAGACAAACTAACATTCCTCCAGGGTTCCCGAAAACTGCGCATTCACCTCCCAGCACAACACACCAGAAGTCGCACAAACCACCGGACCACCTCCCAACACCTCTCCTCTCGGTTTCATGAACGGCGGTCTTCAAGTCGTCAACCCTTCTTCTGGCGTATACAACGCCATTCTTGATCATCTTTCCTCAGACGCCGCAATCAATATGGATTTTGCAGATCAATCTCTCCTCTCTGATCTCTTCAAAAATCGATGGGTGCCACTTCCTTATATTTATAACGCCCTCAAAACGTTGAAATGGGAAGGCGTCCATCCTCAAATTTGGAGAGATGATAAAGTAAAAAATATTCATTATATCCTAGCCCCAAAACCGTGGGATGAGATGGATGAGGAGGGAAATTTCATTGGTAAGGATGCGACGCATGCTTGGTGGGTAACACATAACCAGGAGAGGTTGAAGGGGGAGAAGGAGAGGGGAATTAAGGTTGATGGGTTTTAGATGAGTGGTATGTTCTTGTTTGCGACTGGAGAATAGACAGGTACTTGAGTTTTAGGAGACTAGCTGAGAGCCAGCTGTATTGATGGCTCGTATCACATAGCATAGATATTTATAACGTTGAAATTAGAGTAGAAACCTCCATAATTTCTTTACGAAATTAATAAGCGAACCATTGGATATAATTCAAGCTTCAAATACCCAATACCCATCAAGTTCATTTCCATCCATATATCATTTATTTTCCATGTTTCCTCTGGTAATCTCGTCGCTTCATTCCCCAAACATAACTGAGATAGTCCTATTGGTCATATGTAGAACATATAGTTGACTAGTAACATCACAGAATCTCAAGTCTTCTCGTCTTATCTCCTGTTCACCTTTTCGATATCTTCGCTAATGAATCTAATAAAGAACAAACCGAAGTTCCAAGTCCATCCAACATATCGACACTTAAGGTGACATGCCGCCGGACCGAAACACAGATTTCCCGCTCCGAGCATAAAGATTAGAACGGCTGATCAGCTCAAGCCAAGATGTTAATCTCTGTAAGTGTTTTTTCAGCATGTCATATATGGCATTGCATTGTTTAGTATACCGGTGACAAGGAAAGATATGCTATCAACAAATTGAGAGCATGTGATCTAGATGGTAGCTGCGGGTAACCGTAGCTTCAAGAAAATAGGCTAAATCCACCAACGCCTTTCTCCACAACCTTCATCTCTTCCCCAGATTCCCTCCACATTTTCATGCCAGCCTGAGTTGTGGGATTCTTGAAAGTACCTAGGTATCTATGTAACTTCAAGTAGCTTAAGTTTATTTCTACTCCATATCTCGCAAGCTTGGAAGTCAATATACGACTACTGCATCTAGACCTTAGATTCTGCTTTCCTTCTTCGCGAGAGTTTTAGACAAGAGGAAGTTTTAGCTGTCATCGGCTGTTCTCTCTCACGTTCCGAAACTGTGGATGTTCTTCTGGCTTTATTTAGTACCTGATTATGGAAATCACGTTCTTAGTTTCTGTCCTTGCAGTGGGATTATCTTCAAACCCCACAAAATACCATACCTGTCAAGCTGACAGAAGGTATAATACAGATCATATAGCAAGTGGCAGTTCATATAGCACATGATCCTATACAATCCTTTAACGGGCCGTTGCTCCTTAGTCGCTCAGGTACCTGGAAGTTTATGTGATTTCTTTAATCTAAATTTGGTTTGGGTGATTTTCCGTCGATTGTCTTGATTGGATACTGGATATCACTTTAATTGGTCGTTATAGTAAAATGCATCTCGTTTGATATATTTTATCCAGTCATATTTCGCGGGGTCCTGCCAAGAATTTGAAATTATGATGTTCTTCATGATCAATCCATGGTATCTTTTGAGTTCTACTCAGGCTATACAAATTCTACTGGCAAGCCGGCGCCGGACTCCCGTTGTGATATTGGAGTGCAGCTCGCATATAGATGATCAAATGTGAGTGCATGTTAGTTCATCAAGATTTGTATGGCCAACATGGTTAGTCATATCTCAGTCCGACTGATATAAAAGACTGTTCCTTTCTCCAAAATGTGAATATCCAACCACACACACAATCTTTACTTCTTCAATTGTCCTGTCAAAATGGGTTTCAAGAATGTTCTCCTCGCTGCTGCAGCTGTAGCACCTACTGTGTATGCACAAGGTGCAGGTTACGCACAATGTAAGTTATCACGCTTCATTGGTTGGTAATATGGTTTTAACACATCTTTCAGGTGGTGGTCAAGGTTGGACTGGCGCAACAACTTGCGTTTCGGGATTTAGCTGTGTTGTTAGCAATCCATACTATTCTCAGTGTTTACCAGGCGCTGGGGCCACAACAACAGCAACTTCAGCTCCCACCGCAACGACTCCCACCACAATCATCACATCTACCACCAAAGCTACCACGACCACAAGTGGCAGCAGTGCAACAACAACAGCAGCAGTTGCTGGCAATCCATTCGTAGGAAAAGCACTCTATGCGAATCCATACTATGCTTCCGAAATCTCTGCGAGTGCTATTCCTTCACTCACTGGAGCCATGGCTACTAAAGCCGCTGCGGTAGCAAAGGTTCCAACCTTTTATTGGCTGTAAGTCATCGTCTTTAACTAGATGATGGAAATGATAGCTAATAGACTTAGTGACACCGCAGCCAAAGTTCCATTGATGGGAACTTACCTTGCCAATATCCGGGCTTTGAACAAAGCAGGAGCAAGCCCACCTATTGCAGGCACTTTCGTAGTCTACGATTTGCCAGACAGAGACTGTGCCGCCGCTGCTTCGAACGGAGAATATAGCATTGCAGACGGTGGTTTAGCGAAGTACAAAGCTTATATCGATTCCATCGCCGCTCTTTTGAAAACTTACTCCGATGTCAGCGTTATCCTTGTCATTGGTAAGTGAATTCTTTATTTCAAGCTTGTGTAGGTTTGTGGCTAATCATCCAACAGAACCCGACTCGTTGGCCAATCTCGTCACCAACTTGTCAGTCGCAAAATGTGCCGGTGCGCAAGCAGCCTACCTAGAGGGTACCGAATATGCCATCGCGCAATTGAATCTTTCAAACGTCGCTATGTACTTGGATGCTGGTCATGCTGGTTGGTTAGGATGGCCTGCAAACATCGGACCGGCTGCACAACTCTTCGGCAAAGTCTACAAAGCAGCTGGAAGTCCAGCGGCAGTCAGAGGTCTCGCAACTAATGTTGCAAACTACAATGCTTGGACAAGCACCAGTTGCCCATCCTACACCTCTGGCGACTCCAACTGTAACGAGAAATCGTACATTAACGCTCTCGCTCCACTTTTGACCGCTCAAGGTTTCCCAGCTCACTTCATTACTGATACCAGCAAGTAACATCTTTTCGAATCATCTAAGACGATGCTAACAACTCAATAGGTCGAAATGGTGTTCAACCAACCGCCCAACTCGCCTGGGGTGACTGGTGCAACCTCATCGGAACCGGATTCGGTGTTCGACCAACCACAAACACAGGAGATGCATTGGAAGACGCATTTGTCTGGGTCAAGCCCGGTGGAGAAGGCGACGTTAGTTTTCCCACACACCCCATCCCCATCCCTTCTTATTTCAACACATATACTAACCTAACAATTAGGGAACTTCAAACACCAGCGCTGCACGATACGATTTCCACTGCGGACTCGCAGATGCGCTCCAACCGGCTCCAGAAGCGGGTACTTGGTTCCAGGCCTACTTTGCTCAATTGCTTACCAATGCCAACCCAACCTTTTGATCAAGCGGAGAAGTTGGGAGAGGAAAATGAAGATGAGATGGGGAATGAAAAAATCACACACTCTTTACCCACAACGTGATATGGAGAAGAAAAAAAGTTCTTCGATATATGGTCGATCGTTACATGTTCATTGTTTTTTGTCACTGTTCCGATTCGATTCGATTAAAATATGTATATAAACTTTTTACCTCTTCGATTCTTCTGTATATATCAAATACAAATTGTTCTCTTTATGTTTGAGAGTTGGATATTCAATATCTGTGCGAACGTACGTGTATGGGAAATGAATAGTCGCCTACTAACCTACTGATTGTCATTTCGGATGTTTTATGTTTTATTGAGATTATGCAGAGGAGTACTTTCTGAACACGTGGAAATATTTCCAGATGATTGTTCTTGAAAGTAAATTTATCTTCCTGATGATGTGTTTTTGTTGGATTATTCAACTAGATGTGTTATATATGTAATCGAGAAGGTATATTGACGTTGGTAGGTATCTAAAACATTTGATTGTAATTGTAATTGCAATTGTAATAATATTAATATTGTTTATATTAAAGTAGGTATATAGATATCAAACTACCATCCTGCAGTCTACAAATTGATGGACTTGGATTTTTCGGCTTTGGAGAAAGAAATTCGAAGGATAGATTTAGATAGTTTTTACGGTAGTGTTGCGTATCTTTTGTATTGCTTTAAAATGTTTGGGTTTTTGAGGGGAAAGGGTAGAGAGCGGACGGGAGTATATATATATTTTTTTTTTGGTTAGGAATTGGAAGTTTAGGATATGTTCGATGGGAGAAATTCTCTTGAGGGAAATAAATTTAGATAGTATTGAGTTTCAACTTTCAATCAAGAGGAATTGGTATGATAGCATGGCATGGTATGGTATGGGATAGTATGTACTTTGTATGAATTTGTGAGATTGTAATCTTACAATTCATTCAATATTTAGGGAGTTTGTGTTTGGGGATGATAGGTTTATTGAACTAAAGGATGGAGGCTCGTAGGTAGGTACTTGACAGATACATTTCGCAGGCTGGGACAATTCTAAATTTCAAGTTCGAAGAGAAAAAATGGAAGATGGAAAATATGCAGAGTGGATTCAAATTTTTAAATGAAGGTTAGGGAGGGAGACAGTCTTGTGATACATGGGAACTTTTTTTCTTTTTGATTAATTAAGGTTATCTGGGTTAAGAGGCGGTAGGTATGTATCAGAATTACCGGGCTCCTCAAAAATTATATTAGCATGTCATTAATTAAGGTTAAATATCCTCCTGGGATCTGGGGAAAAAGGATAAATAGATAGAAGAGATGCAATGCAATGCTTGTTCCACCACATGCATGTTGTATAAACAAACAGCGCACCAGAAAGTGCAAACAGAATAGCCGAAATCTGGGGTATGTGGCATTTCTTGGTGACAGAGCATGGCTGAATGGGAAGAGGTTAAGGTTATTTACCCCTGGATTTATCCGAGGATGGGTGGTGCGGTGCGGGTCCGGCTTATGCTGGTGCGCTTTGTGATTGATAGGAATAGAGTTGGGGTCGGGGTTGGGGCGAGCCTTGGCGTGTATGTACTGTGTACTACTCGTATGTACCGCGGTATGTACGTACGGAGTACAGCCTGTACAGGGGATTAAGATGGGGATGGGAATGGAAATTTAAGGGTTGAGGAAATTTTTTTGTGTAGATTTAAGGGGGGAGGGAAGGAGGGTTTGTAGGTATGGTG